TTTTTTTTTTTTCATTTCTTTTGGTTGAATTTTTGAAATTTTAGTTATCTCTCAATTTCTTTCTACTAAATTGCAAGTTCCAAATGCTAACAGTGGGCAAGCTTTTTCCCCAAATAATCGTTCCTCTTCACATTTAAGCTATCACCTTTTGTCTCACCAAAATGAGGGTAATGAAGAAAATGATAGGCAAAGGGACTGAAAGGCATGTTTATATCTCTTCTTGGATCTATAATTTCTAGTGACAAGCATTTAATTGAACTTCTTCATTTTCGGCAATTTTTGTTTTTGCCTAAATCTGCTGTTTTTAGATTGATATATATCTATGGAATTCCTCTTTTATGGTTGCCAATTTAGTGCATCAATTAACTAATTTTTTTTTTTTTGAATTTTTGATGGCCTTTTGTATTGTGCTGAATAGTTTGATTTGCATAGATTAGCTTAGTTTGAGCAATTGTGTGCTTTGAAGGAATTGATTCGTGCAGATGGTTAGGAAATTTCAAAGTAGTGTTTTTTCCTTTCTTGTTTGTGCAGAGTTAATGTATTTGGTTTTGGTCTTTTGGAAGTTCTACTTGCATTTTGATTTTCAGAACAATCATTCTCTAGCTCAGAAAAATGGTATTAATAATAAGTTTAAGAGAAAATTATTAAATAAAAGTGAATTATCAATTGTAAAAAGAAAAAAAAAAAGATCTATACTAACGGTATTAACCATCTATAAAGGTTAAAGTCTATACCCACGGCAAAATTTTTTAAAATTTTCAAGGGTCTATACCAACGGAATTATCCATCTGTATAGGTTAGGTCTATACCCATGGCAAAATCTCTTAAAATTTTCCAGGGTCTATACCAACGGACGAATCTTCCATTGGAATAGATTCCAGGGTCTATACATACAGATTTATCGTCAGTATACACCCTATACTGACGAGGTTTGCATTGACTGAAAGGACTTCCATCGGAATAGTCCCAGGGGTCTATACTGACGGAAAAAGGGTGTATACAGACGGAAAACTTTCGTCAGTATAGATGCATCTGGTTGTAGTGATATAAGAATCGTATCACACACATAATGGTCCAAATGTTGAGTTTTTCACATAGTTGACGCATTATGGCCTTACACATGATCCCGATTTTCATAGGTGATCTAGAAAATTGCCCATCTAATTTTTATAGAAGTGGCCTCACTTTGACACCCATACAGGTGAAATTTGTCAAAAGTACTCCCATAACTAAGACGCCCCACTTTATGAGCTACAAATTTCATTAAGAGTATATAACTCAACCCTCAATTTGTTATAGGATAGATGCATCCTCACGTTAGGAATGAGACTAGAAATTTTTTCCGTTAAATATTGATGCATCTTTCAACAACAATTTCTCTATTATTCGTTTTTCCCATTCAAAACCCAATTGTTAGAATTCGGGTTGGGTATCGTCATAGAAAGTTCTACATTATTGTGCTTGCATCCCATTCCCCTCAATGAGCACTAAACCTTGGACTATGATCATAGTTTTTCCTCCAACTTTTGTTTTTACCAAAGGCCTAGTTGGTGGTATAGTGGGTAAAAAGAGATTCAACTCATTCTTTTTCTCACTTTTTCACATCAACCCACATGTCCACTAGCTCATAAAATTCACATTCATATTTCTCAAGTTCTCAATTCATGGTACCATAGTTTTGATATCAAATCAAGTTAGTGAACCACCCTTTTCTTTCCATACATGTAGAGACATGTATTTAAGAATTTTTTAACTCAAACACCATTGCACCTTATTGTACAATAGGAATGTCCATCACATACCTCTTTTCTCAAATGCCTTATTATTATTATTTTTTATCATACACCATTATACTATAATTGCATAATAGGAATGCATATCACATTTATTTTGCTAAGCACCATTAGATCTTATTATATAATAGGATTGCATATCACATTTGCTTTGTTAAACACCATTATACCTTATTGTGTAATAAGAATGCTATACAAAATTTCAGTTAGGCACCATTGGTCTCATCACCAATAATAATAAATAGGGATATGATAATAATCCCCCACATTGGGAACATCTCAAATATGTGATTTTCACATTTCTCAAATAATTGAGTTCATGAAGAAACTCATTTACTCACAAAAGTTCATAAGAGCATATTAGCTCATCTCACATTTTATCACCACAAATGGCTCCTCGATAACATAAGCTTAAAAATTTAACTTATATTTTCGGAATATATCAATCCAAATTTCATGTCAATTTTTTCAAAATTATTGCATGGACCAAATTGGATAACTCTCTTCTTTAGTCTTTTCACTTGGGTTCTCAAAATTTTCCATAAACCCATTTTTCATGGTTCCTAACTGAGTAAGACAACACAACATTCACTAAAGATTTGTTAGAGAGCAAAAATAATCAACTAACAAAATATATGATTAGGAACAACATTTAACACATAATGGCATAACCAATGCACTTAGCATTTTACTAACTATTGGAGTTAAATCACATTACTAGCATTGCATTGAAAACTAACAGCTACATCATTTTAATGTGTCCATAATCATGCAATAACCAAGGGAAAGATTACATATAAATACATTTAATTAATTTTTAATGTTGAAAATAAATTACACAATAAATATATTTTCGTTAAGGCTAACAATAACCATAGACAGCCATGTCAAAAACACCCAAGCAATAACCACATTCATGTTGAAATTTACTAGCAACAAACATAACTCTTAAAAGGCCATAGCTAACATCATGGTATAACAGTTTCACATGCCAAGTTTTCCCTTCTTTTTTTCTTTTTCTTTTTTTTTTTTTTAAATTTTAAGTTATTGAAAATGTCTTATAAATTAAGGACTACGGTGGCAGCAAAAAGAACACATATTTGCATGCATTACTCAATAGAAAAAGTAAAAAAGTAAAGAAAGTATTGTACAATATCCTCAATTTTTTTTTAAAGTAGATTTGTATTAAAAACTTATACCTGTTTGGTGCATATATATATATATATATTCAAGAAAATCAAAATTTTATATTATGCTTACACAAAGCCTCATATATTTCACTCTTGATTTGCATATTGAATTGCCCAAAATTGTTGTTCCTCAAATATTCTTCCCCATCTTCACATCATGTCATTGTTATGCCTCAGTCATAAAAATCAAATAAAAAATAATTAGTGAACTTATCAAAAAAATATCAATAAGAAATCATCATCAAAATATGTATGAAAAACTTACTTACTTTAAGACGATTCATACTTCTATGGAGAGTATATCAACCGATGCAGCAGAGATATATATAGCATGTCATCCCCAAGATACTACATTTTTATAATTACACTTTATAAATCTGCACTATTCATAGAGTCATCAAACTCAAAAACATTCTTCTTTACCTAAGAAAAATTTAGAAAATAAAGTAAAGTAAGGAAAATAGGAGAATGGGGAGGAACTTTCTCCTTTAAGCAAATAGACATGTCCTATTTATATGACTCATGATCTTGTAACTCCTATTTGTCAGTTAATTATAGGAATAAATTGGGCAATTATTATGAAATAATATGCCCTTAAATAGGATAATTAACTTACAACAACTAGTTTAATTAAATCATTAATGAGAATTAATTTAATTTATAAAATATATTATTTTATTTTTTATTAAAATATTTAAGTTCCAACAAAAAAATCCTCTAATCGGTGTAGGAGAAGAAGGATTAATAGTTGTACGTGTGCATCCAGGTTTAATAAGCCAAAAGGCCGAAAAAGAAAAAATTCGGTAACCCAGAAAGCCGAGACAGTTAAAAAAAAGAAAAAAAAAAGGGGTAACGTTCTCCTAGAGGGACCTCCTTCAAGGATGTATCAAATGTATCTGGGTCATCCATGTGATTCATGAATCAAATATGGCAGCAGATATTATGGCTAACATGGAGCACAACATTTTGGATGATTTTAATATCTTTTATTATATTTCCCAAACGGTTAAATATATATGTATTGTAGACTTTATAGGAATTGAATTCCCCAAAATTTGTTGATGTATTTTCAAGTATTTTGTTATATAGTATTTTTGGATTTTTTTTTGTTTTATATTTTAAATTGAATCAAATTATAAAATCAAAAGTCTTAAATAAAAAATACAATATTAAACAACTCTTCCTAATCAAAGAATTACTATTTTATAACTTTTCAATCGAAAAAGATTTATCTAATAAGTTAAAATGTATTAAATGTATTATTTTATAATAAATTTTTATAAAAAAAATATAAAAGTAAGACATTTATTTTAACATCAAAATACCACTTAGTTGATTTTAATTGAGTAATTGATAAATTTAAAGTCAATTTCTGTTTTTTATATAAATTAATTAAAAAAATATAATTAATACTTTCTTAATATATATCTTTGGACATAAGTAAGAGAACTCTTACTTAAAAAAAAAAAAAAAGGGGAAAAAAACCCAGCTGGATCAAATCGTTTGGTTCACAGCCCCCTACGGTGCCCTACCCACGCCCAAACCTCATAAACCATTAATGGGCTAGTTCTGAGCCCGTTTCAACTTCACTTGAATTTCATATCCTATCCCTGTTTAGTTTGCCCCCCAAGAAAACGGTGCGTTTGAGTGTTGTATTTTCTCCGAACCTTCTAGATTTCGCTTTCCACAACAATTAACCAAGAACCCTAGCCCCCTCTCTCCTTCGACGCTTAAACCCTAACGCTCTATTTCACTTGCAGACTTCCATTTCTGGAGCCCTCCTCAGCAAAGATTGCGGAAATATATTAAGAAAAGAGAGACATGGTGTGGTTTCAGTGTGAAGATTGCGGCGAGAACTTGAAGAAGCCAAAATTACCGAATCATTTTAGGATTTGCTCTGCTTTCAAGGTTTCATTTTCCCTTTTCCGTTTAATTTCAAAATACCATTTCTGTTTTGCTTCTGAATAAGCTTATGGGTTCGTATTCCAATTGCTCTCGATTGAATTGGGTTCCTTTCGTCGAATTTGCAGTTCTCATGCATTGATTGTGGAGTGACATTTGGGCAGGAAAGCGTTCAGGGCCACACTCAGTGCATTACTGAGGCGGTTTGTATCTTCACTCTTACTGCTACTTATCAAAATTGAGCTTAATTGCTTTAGGAAAAGAAGAATGTCCTTTTTCTATTGAAGATTTCTAGCATATTTTACTTCCTCTGTGCATGTTCAATTTATCTGACATTATGATGTAATTTCTTATGTATAGGAAAAGTATGGTCCGAAGGGCCAAGCTAAGGCACCAAATGGTTCGAATACCAAACCCAACAAGGAAACAAAACAACAGCCTGATATTGATATAAATGTGGGGTTGTCTGAGCGTCCGCCATGGTTTTGTAGGTATGTTCATGTTGTTGGGGTATTCTTACCCTAATCATTGCTCGGACATTCTGCTTCTCAAACTTTTGTGAACCAAACTAAAATCTCAATGAAAGATAAACTAGGGTCACTCTATTTGGGAGTTGGGATTAATGCTTTGTATAAGTAAAGTGGGGTAACAAATGTTTGTCGCATATGTAAAACTTGTGGCACTAGACTAGATTTTTGATCCCTTCTATAAATTTTAATGAGTTGTGTGGTAGGTTTCTTTTGATATTTAATGTTTTAACAAATACACATTTAGTGTGATAAATATTTTTTGACCAGTCATCCGATGAAGCAGTTTAACACTGGCTAGCACCAGAAGCTGAATTTCTTTAACAATTTACATGATGAAGTAGTTTTTTTGAGGTGTTGGTAATGGTTCTTACTCCTGACTACCTTGAGAAGAACTTTATATTCTAACACTAGAACTCTGGTTGTGTAATGACCTTGTTTGTCATCTTCTAGTATGAATGAGTCTGAGGATATTCTCTTATTAACCTGTGTTTGTAGTCTCTGCAATACAAAGGCTACCAGTAAGCAGACCTTGCTTCTCCATGCTGAAGGGAAGAAGCATAAGGCAAAGGCCCGAGCTTTCCATGCTAATCAAAATCCTAAGCAAACTGAAGAATCTGCTCACGATAATAATGTTCCTACTGAGAAAACTCAAAATGGGGAATTAGTGGAAAATAATTCTCTAGAGGATCCAAAATTGCGGAACCATTCCAAAGGTGATCCTGTCAATATCAACTCAGAAGCAGCAAATGGGAACTTGCAATTAAAGAAAAAGAGAAAACATGAATCACCTGACAAGGATACGAATAAAAATGCTGGGGATGATACATCAGGTGAAACAGGCAATGGGGAGGTGATTCACCTTCAGAGAGAAAAGGCAAAGGTGAGAGAATCCAAGAGGAAGTTAAAAAAGGCGAAGCATGATGTACAAAAAGAAAATAAAGCAGAATCCGGCTCTAATAAAGATGTGAAAGATACCAAAGCAAAGTTAAAGTGGAAGAAGCTAATCACATCAGCCTTAAAATCTGTATGTATCCAAATTAATTTTCATTTCACAATTGCTGATCAAAATATTCATTTCATATCTATTCTTTTGGTATGCAGTTCATTATGCTTCCAACTATCATATCTGTAGCTTAGCTAAATCCTTTTAACCAGAATTCTGCATATACATGAGAAGCCCTTTCTGTTTCTTGATGGGCATAGGAAATGAGAATGAAGGCTTGAAGCGGCTGCCTTTTTATATATGAATGAATTGGTTGCGCTATTTATTTTCTTGCCCACTCATGTTTATACTACTTGTTTTGTTTTGTTTTGAGGGTAGAGTCCTGATGGAGTTCTAAAGATCCGCAAACTGAGAAAACTGGTTTTGAAGGCTCTCCAAGAGTCAGGCCTAGAAGAAGATGAGGCCCAGATCAATGACATTCTTGAGCGCAAGGTTCTATTAGAAGAAACTTCAGTCTTTTTCTTAGTTATTACTGTCTGGGTTTTCTTTCTTTCATTTAAATTTATTTGAAGAGGATAAAAGTTGGGGCGTTTAGCCTATTTCTAAATCTGGGAGGATCATTTCACTATTTTCATCCATTGTTGCAGATCACTTCAAGCTCCAGATTTGTAATTGATGACAAATATGTCCGACTAGTGGCTAAAGATTAGAACTTTGATTTTCAGAAGCTGAATTTTTGAGGATGGCAGCATCAATTCGAGTGGTTTTTTTCATAATGGCTCTGGAGACATTTCATGTTACCCTGTCGTGAGTCGTTTGAGAAGTCAAGTTTGAGCTGACCCCTTATATTCATTTTGGACCACCATGTGGGGAGCATCAAGGTCAAATCGTTTTTTTATTGAAGGTTTTGCATCAGATAATTGCAGCCATGTATTTTTAGCTATGATTTTTTCAGAGAAGAGGGTATTTCTGTTCTTGTTTTCACTTTCAATCGACATTTAAATATAATGAAAAACTTTCCATCATCAATGTCATGAATGAATTGATTTTATGCCATAGGAGAATCACAAGATTGATTTCCTATTTTATAGATATTATCTCGTTAAAAAACATGGTCCATAAATGAATTGAGATATAATTGAGGATAGAGATTGGGCATAACTTCAATGTTTCAGCTGATATTTTCAGATAAGCAAAACAATAAAATATGTTGTATTTCGTGTGGAACGACAAAAATTCCAACTTGGATCCAAAATTCCTCCATCCATGTCCAGATCTCCTGGTGCTGCTAGCAACATCATATCATTCATCACGAACAGGTCAATAAATTCTGTTGCTAAGTAACAAGAAAGAGGCATGCAACTTTGCACATAAACAAGGCAACAAATTATTCAATTTGATGAAGAAACAAATTATTATTCAATTTAATGAAATTTCTTCCATACTTTTGACATATAAACAAAAGTTCAATACACGAGGTGAAGACAACTATAATTTTCTTGCATGGATTCCTATAAACAAGAAATTTCTTTGGTATCTCCAAACTTCACAGGGATGCCCAACAGATAAGACAGGAAAGTTTTCCATAATGTATGCTATTGCAGCAGAACTTGTTACTTCCATCACTGCCAAAGCATCCAGAACCAGATAATGATGCAATTCAAAGAAAATCCTTTCCTTGGGATGTACAGAGCATGTCGGATTGTGATAACTGTGTCTAAAATAGAAGATAAGCTACAATGATCAGCAACACAACAGAACATGCCATTGCCTGCAACACCAATTAGATATGTTAAATTTGTATTAACAGTGTGACTTGAGCTTGTAGCTCAGTTGGTAAAGTGCAAGTTCCCCATCCAAAAAAGATGGGTTTGAATCCCCTCATCCCCAACTTCTATTATTGAGTAGTAAAGCTGTATGATCTTCCGTTGGAAAGAGAGACTACTTACAGCAATTGCAGAGGCAGCAAGGCCGGCTCTCTCCCTGGGATCTTTGCGGTAGTGATTTCCAAAATAAAGAATTGTTGCATAGTACCACATCAATGGAAACACAAATCCTAGAAGAAAACTGTGACAACAAGGCAAAAATGAGACAAGGAGAAACAAGGTTGATTGAGCATGTAGAAGGGTGAAAAATACTTACGAGAACCACCCTATCCCACAGCCAAAGCATGGAAGAGGCTTGTCGTAAATCCCTGGTTGGAAGTCCTCCACATCTTTGATAAGAGTATACTTGCCCTTTCCTGCAGCATCCTGTGCTTGCCCTATGATCACCATTATGCCCTTTCAGTTGATTGAAAAAGCACCCATAAAGAAACATGATGATGATGTTATGAAGATAATGTTCTCTCAACAAAAATCAACCACACCAACATCATGGTCAGATAAGGATTTAGTAATGGTTCAGTGAAGCTGAAATGCTAGTATACTAAACAATGAAAAAGATGTTGAGTAAATAGAGCACAACAGCAAATGAGGGAAGTGGTGGTTTGAATGATATTCATAACTATAACAAAAATAAATGTGGAGAGAAAGTGAAACCACATTTCAGAATTGTTAGATTCTTAAGACAATTTCTAGATTGATACAGAAGCATAATTGTATACCAACAGCTACAGGTATCAATAAGATGATAAATCCTAGATGTAGTTCCAAAATAGCAATTAGAATGGAAACAAGAAAAGAGAAAGAAAATGGGAATGCATCATGAACAAATGGGATGTAAAACAAGAAAAATCAATATGATACATAATCTAGACTATTAGATATGAGGAGGCAAATTAACGTTGATGAGAAATTAGCAAAACCGTGATTAACAATTTATTTGGTCCAGATAGAATCACTACCTTTAAATACTGAATAGTAACGAGCAGAAGGTCTCAAAAGATCAGGATGCTTCTCAGAAGCTGATTTCACCAACTCAAGCCCATTTCTCAAACTCTGTGTCTCCTCTACAGTAGCATCTATAGTAAAGAGGATGCCATGTTTACAGTTAAAAGGTAGCCAGATCTTCATTGTCTTATCAATCAGTGTGAAGCGCCAAAGAAAATAAAGAATTAAATAAAGAATTGATCAAAGTTGATTACTTTTATCCATGCCTGCTGGCGCAGATGTATGTGTCTTGTTGGAGGCCTCAGTTATGTTATCACCCTAAAAGACTCCTGCTTCAATTGGTAAAGAAGGAATTAAGACTTAATTTATAATTTCCATTGACGAAGCATGGTGTAATGTACACTTTAGAATTCCAATTTTCCAGAGGAAGAACATATGATAAGTGGAAATCTAATTGCTTTGCAAAGGCAGAGCAGTTGCCACCTCACCCAACTTTCCATATGTTCAAATAACTGTAATTAAAAATTGAAAAATTTATACCTTCTATTTCTCTCTATTATTAACTCCATATCCATGACATATAGACAAATTAAAGACAGCATAAAAGTTCATTGCAGACTTAAGAGTATTTTCACTGCATATAGTTATTGTTCAATATTTGTTTAACAAATTTCCAGGTCTCAACTCTCAAGTTTCAACGGGATGATCTTTCTTTAACTGTTTTGCTTCTAAAATAACATGCCAATAACACACATAAAAGCAATGCTCTAGGAATCATGTGCGCCATACATCGCATGAAAAGTTTATTAGTAAACAAAAAATTGAATACCAAATAATTACTTGTAGAGAGTGCTAGGACATGTACATATAAGCAAAAAAATTCTACCTCTTTATGAATTCCCTGCTGTTATCTCCATCCTTATGCATATTATCAAACTTCTATCACATTTAAAATAAATAAAAACCGAAACCCTCTCAAGATAGGTAGATAATTAGGGGTAAATAACTCCATTCGATCTCCCTATCCCATGGACTACAATTCTAAAAGAGACAAATCTCTTTCTGGACATAAATACCCATTAAACATACAAAGCAAATTATTTTCTACCCATTTTCCATTTTCTACTAAAAATAAACATAGAAAACAGTCATGTTTTCCAATGCCAAACTCGCCCTTAGTATCTCCAGACTCCAGGATTTCATGAATACCCAAAGTCATAAACCCAAAAGGGTTCTCCAGAACACATGAACAAACCAGAAAATCTACCAATAACAGCATAAACAAATTCTGCACCAAAGCCCACTTCTCAATTCCAAAAGATCAACTCAGAACACATGTTTGCATTCATTTAAAAGATCCCAAAACAATCAAATCGCCAACAAACAAACCCAATAACAGAAAACAAAATTGTATCCATAAAACAACAAAAAGAAAGAGAAACTTGCCTGCGTAAAACAAGAAATGGGGGAATCGAAACGTTGAAGCTTGATTTCTTCCCCTCGTAAAGAAGAGAGCTTGAATTGGGTATTTGTTTGAGTGTTTTACATTACAAGCAAAGTAAACCTTCTCCTCCAGTATTTAACTGGTGGAAATAGAGAGAAATTGACTTCTCCGGCGCCCCTGGTGTCTTTGATTATAACAGGAAAATAATTTATCTAGACCAAATAAAATAAACATGTTTGTTAAGGACCTCTTGAAAATTACTTTATGATGGTACTGAAGCTTAAATGAAATGGCAAATAAATAAACGGCTGATATATGGTCGCAGGTGTCATAATAATTGTTATTTTTAATTTTTTTTAAAATTAAAAATTTTCAAGTTATTTATGTCTTTGTTTATATCATTAAAAAAATTTTAAAAAGTAAATTTTTTCATAATAAGAAAATTAATATAAATAAATAAATAATAATAAGATTAAAGTAAAAAAAATAGTTATTTATTTTAAAAAATAAAAAATGAGAATTAATTTAGGATAAATTTAAAATTAAAAAACAAAAATTATTTTAGAATAGAGAAAGTAAGATAGTAAGAATACCATTAAAGATAACAAAAAAAAAAAAAGATTATAAGATTATAATTAGGAAAAAAATGTTTATTAGCTTCAATTTTTTTAAAAAAAATTAGAGTTTTAATTTCAATTTAAAATTTAAAAATTTACCTTATTAAATATTAATAATTATATTTAAAAATTCATTATATTATAATATTTTAATATCATCAATTTTTAAATTCAGATATCAACATTTAATGAAGAAAATTTTTAAATTTTGAGTTGGATTTTAATCAAATGAAAT